AGATGATCTCCAGAGGTCCCTTCCAACCCCATGTGATTCTGTGATTCTGTAACACAGTGCATAGTGAAAAATTAAATAAATAAAGTGTTATATCTCATTATCTCCACCTCGCATTTTGCGTGCTCCAGCAGAGTATCACTTTTTCTAGTATTAAATCATGTTTACACTATTGTATTACCTTCACATGTAGACCTCAAAGCCTTCACAGAAGGTGTGTATTACTAACCAGCACCTGGTGAAGGATATCTGCTGAAGGAAAGGCACAGGCAGGCTACGGGCAGCCTGGCATCACATCTGTGACACTGCCACAAAGCGAACTCACACATCTTCACCTTCTATCACCATCCCAAGGCCATTACAACGTTGTGGGGGGGGTTTCTCGAGGGTCTCAGCGCGGTGACAGAAAGAAGCAAAGCACCGTCCCGAGCTGAGTTAAGTGACTGCAACAACCTCACAAGCTGAAAACCCTCCAGGCAGTTTGCATATATTCCAGTGCAGAATACGCCCTTTTCTGAAGATGATTAAGCTCTGTCTTTTAAGCTTTGGAATGAAAGAGATAGTCCCCAACTGAAAAAAAAACACCATCCCAAGGCCATTACAACGTTGTGGGGGGGGTTTCTCGAGGGTCTCAGCGCGGTGACAGAAAGAAGCAAAGCACCGTCCCGAACCGAGTTAAGTGACTGCAACAACCTCACAAGCTGAAAACCCTCCAGGCAGTTTGCATATATTCCAGTGCAGAATACGCCCTTTTCTGAAGATGATTAAGCTCTGTCTTTTAAGCTTTGGAATGAAAGAGATAGTCCCCAACTGAAAAAAAAACGTTTCAAACTTTTTATTACACAGACATTATATTTTAAAGGTAATTAACTTTTTTTTTTTTTTAAGTGGGCTAAAATAGAATAAAGGAGAGAAAAAGGGCTTTTTGGTTTTCAATAATAAACTTTAAAAATGATGGAAGAAAATTAAAAATGCATTTTTTGATAGAAACTGAAGAATCACCATATAATATATTTTAGCATAATGCTATGCACATAGGAATGAGGGAAACAACTTCAACATAGGAATATTAAACTAGTGCTAATGAACTCAAAGTGTTTAAATATGACTTTCAGGGAAATCGAGTACTTAAGTCAAAAGGCTGAGAAATCACTTCATCACTGTGCATCAGTACTTATACACAGCAGTTACATCAGGGGGCTTTTCTACCTCAGTATCAAATTAATACCAAAATCCAAGGACTGGCAGCTGAAGCTGAATGAATTCACCCTCCATCTGTGATTAAATTTCCAAGCTCTGTCAACATAATTTCATGAGAAGAGATGAAGTTTTGGCTCTCACTTAGAGGCTTTAAAATGCATATTGGGAATATGATTTAAAGCAGCTTCTGAATTAAACTCTCTGCTTATACGTGCAGGGATTTTAATGCTTCTGCTCCTTTCCTCTCCCTGGGAGGCACGGAGGGATGAGGCTTGTCTGGATTGCCCTCAAGGTGCCCATCACACACACAGAGTTTTGCTGTAAGGCAAGGATTGGAGGGAAACCTCCTTCTTCAGCGCTTCAGCTAATTGCCTGACACGATCCAGGGGACATTTTTCCTTCACTACCTGTTGGCTAGTGATAGCTCAGAGATCAGTTATGTTATCTTCTCAGGCTTCAGGAACTCCATCACCGGAGGTGAACAAGGGTGTACTGCCAAGGTGGAGAAGACAACCTTGTTTCTTAGAGCCCATCTTGCTCATGTGTTTCAAGTCACAGCAATTAGCAACCCTGAGCTACAAAGAGAGGCTCTTCCCCTGGTCACACTGCCAGGAACCTTGGAGAACTTTCATCTGTCTCTATGTTATGGTAAGTAACTTAAGTAGGTAATAAATATTACCTAATCAATCCCGTGTCATTGCAGAAAACTCAGACATTCATCCTCTGGGATAAAGTTTAATGACGGAAAAGCTTTCCTTGGTTGCTAACACTGAAGGTGTCGGCAGAGTAATGACCTCTTCTGATCACAGCCTCTAAGAAAAGTCCCACTGAGTTCAGTAACACCCCTCTGAACGTAGTGCACAGGAGGCATACTGCATGCCGATGGAATTTGCAATATTGAACCCATAAAAAAAGAATACAGTGAGAGCATTTTGCTCTACGCTTGGTAATTCACTGGCCAGGCTTTTTCCTCTTTTTCACTGTAACATAACTGTTAGTTTTAACAAAACCGTTTTGTCTAAGGCAGAATTAATTTCTTTAGAGTAATGAAGCGAGGTTTTGTTCATGGTGCTTTATTTCTGTCTATGTATAAAGTTGCTGAACTTCCTCTGCCGGGTAAAATTATCCATCATGAAAATGCAAGTAGAAAAGTTAGGAATTGGGATGTTTTGGAATTGTTGAATATTTTGGTTTCATTGCCAGGACATGCAAGATGTGTATTTATATACACAGGGTATATATATGATATCCATAGTTATATCTGTATATACATATATAGATATACATATTATATCTGTATATACATATATGTACATATTATATCTGTATAGACATATATGTACATATACATATTACTCCTTTTGGTAGGACTGTTATACGTGTATATTCTACTGGGATTTTCCATACCTTGTGAAATAAATATGTGCTTTTAAAGGTGCATATTGCGGCAGATCACCCACCAAATGTTATTTTTTACAGACTATATTTTGAGCAACTGGAATCCCAGCAGGAACTGATGTCCAAACTCTTTTACCTGTTTCAGTAACGAGAATCACAAGCAGCTCATGAGCGAATGATGGGTACAGAAGGGGCCTGCCAATATTTTTTCCCAGGCCTGAAGACTGTGGTGAGAATACCTGCCAGCTTTTCAAAACTATGAATAGAGACAACTGGAGAGGAAATAAGTGCCTGTCTCATAATTCTGCTGGAATATACCGGGCTGGGAGCCAATTTCTAAATTGAAGTCAGTGGCATTGCATGGGGCAGGAGCCAGCGCAGACTCTCTTCTTGAAAATTTTTAGACACTGCAGGGTAGGTGAAAAATAGATCCTGTCGTTCGTGATCTTTGCACACCTCTTTTCTATTGCAGAACAATGGGAAAATAGCCGCATGAATCTAATCACTTCAGATCTGAAGTTTTTCTGTTTGTCACCACAATTTCTTTCAGTTGTTAAATTTGCAGGCTCCATAGAAAGGAATACTGAAAATACTGAATTGCTTCGAAGCCAGGGAGCTCGGCTGAGCTGTAAGCAGCCTGTCTATCAGGACAACAGCATGACACTGGAACTACGAGGTTTGCTACCCAATTCCAAGAAAATATATTAAATGTCATCATCATCTTTTTTCTCTGTCCTGAGTCCTGTTATCACAATGCGTGGTTATTCAAACCTTGTTTGGCAGGGTGGAGGAAGTATTTGAAAGTTAAGGCATATCAGACTGTAGACTGCCACCGTTTTCATTCTCCCACCTTCTGCATGTGCCTTATGAAATGCCTTTAAGATTGCACAGCTTTTTGATTGCAAAAAAGGGCATCTCGTGTTCCTAAAGGGCTCTTCCACAGGCCCTGCAATGGTGGGCCACGTCCTGCTGGCCTTTAATGAGCTGCCACGGGCCGTGAGAGTTGTGTCAGCACAAGAAATGCCAAACCGGGACCTAGGCACGGCAGGGACGTGGTGCTACTGTCAATTGTCTCACATTAACTCCAGTAAAACCCTGTTAAATGAAAATCATCAGAAAAAACGTCCAAATAATTGTGAATGGAGTCCAGATTGAGAAGCCCCTGGCTCTTGCAGCTGCTGAGTGTGTGACCCAGGCAGGGTTTGGTGGGAAGAAGTTGCCATGGGAATGGCAGGGCATTGTTTGGGGCTGACTTCAGCTTTTATTGTCGTGCTCTGATTACAGCCTTTGTTTTGCTGTGAAGTGCGGCTCTTAAATGCCAACTTGAAACAAAGATGTATTTACATGCGACGGCTGGGTTCAAATTATTTCTATTTTTAGAGGTATCCCTGATTTAAGCTAGGAAAAAAAATCTCCATTACTATTTTGGAAAACATTAAGCATTTTAATAGAAATATAGCATACACTTAGAAGATAATTGACATGAAACTGGGTTAAATATAATTCCTGGAAATTGTTATTCACCACTAGGACCATAGCGACTGACGGCTTCAAAAAGCTGTGAGGCAGCACCTTCTGTGAGGAGCGTGGGGTCATAGTCTCCACAGCTCCAAACTGTTAATTCATTTTCATAGAATCACAGAATGGTTTGGGTTGGAAGGGACCTTAAAAAACATCCAGTTCCACCCCCCTGCCCTGGGCAGGGACACCTCCCACCAGACCAGGTTGCTCCAAGCCCCATCCAGCCTGGCCTTGAACCCCTCCAGGGATGGGGCAGCAACAGCTTCTCTGGGCAGCGTGGGCCAGGCTCTCACCACCCTGAGAGTGAAAAATTTCTTCCTGATATATAATCTAAATCTCCCTTCTTCCAGTTTGAAGCCACTACCGCTGATCCTACCACTACACGGCCTTGTAAAGAGTCCCTCCCATCTTTCCTGCAGGCCCCCTTCAGAAAATGGAAGGGGCAGTAGTGTCTCCCTGGAACCTTGTTGTCTCCAGGCTGATTTTCTGCAGGTCCCTCTCCATTACATTTAATATTAAAATCTAAGTAATTTCACGTTTAAAAAAAAAAAAAAAGTCCAAAGCTGCAGAAAATAAGCCATGTCCGCCTCAGCAGCAACAGGCCTCGCCCTCGAGGAACTACAACTCCCGTCAGGCTTTGGGCGTCGGGGCCGCGCCGAACTACATCTCCCAGAAGCCACCGCGGCACGGGGCCGCCGGGCAGGCAGTGCTGCGGCGCATGCGCCCGGCGGGGCGGGGCGGGGGCCTGGGCGGTGTCGCCGCGGACGGTGGCGGCGGGAGGCGGCGAAGTTCCTTCGGAGGGATAAGGGGGCGGGAAGGGAGCGGGCCGGGCCCGGAGGGGAGG